CTCCCTTGTTCGCCTTCAACGATGAACAACTCTTCAGTCTCTCCCTCCCCCCTCGATAAAATCTCTCCCGCCTCAACCTTCGACAGTGAATCTCTCTCCTACCTCCACCCACGACGAATCTCGCTCCCTCCTCCACCTTCGACGAGAAAATCATCTCAGATCCTCAGCAACTCCGGTTGAATCACCTCCCTTCCACCTTCAACGAGGAAATGATCTTGGATTCTCTGCAATTCCGGCAAACCACCTCCCTTCAGCCTTTGCAGCTCCTAAAAGTGAGGTAAAAATTCCAAAGCTTGTATTTTGTAGCATTAGATGAGGATGACTTAGTAATTTTCTAAGAGATGGATCTAGAGGATGGAGTTGTTTTGTAGGATTTATTAATGCTCGAGAGTTGTTGGATGTGTTTGGTTTTGTTGGAAACTTTAGATTTGTTTTTATTGCTTTGGACTTGACGATGTTGACGTACTGATCATTTGATGATGCCTTTTAGAATGGTTGTTAGTCATATATGACTAACTTTTGTTAGGAAATTGTGATATTATATTTTTATATTTGATAATTGTGATGTTCTGCTTGAGAAGTTTGATGATTTTAGGTATTAAAGTTATTATGAGTTGTTTTTATAAAACATCTGAATAATTGATAAACAATATAATCTTTGTTATGTGTTACGTTTATTTACCTTTTTTTCCTTAACCATTTACAGGAGGTCAAGTGTTACATAACCTATTTTCGTTATTTTGAACATTGCTTATAAACAACCTCCTCAAAAATCTGAAAATTATTAAAAGCCTAATGCACAATTCAATTTGCAAAAAGCACCCTAGAACTTTAAAATTTGCAAAAAAACCCTAAAATTTAAAAATCACAAAGAACACCCTAAAAATGACACCTATTAAAAAAGTACACTAACAACTTCGTATAACAAAAATGCCATGAAATTTTTCAAATTAAAAAAAAACCCTCAAAGTTCCAAAATTTTCAAAAAACACCCTCAAAAATTCAAAATTTACAAAAGATACCCTCAAAAGAACAAAAATTACAGACAAGTATATGTCTAGTTTCATTTTTTTATGGTATTTTCTGCATTTTCAAAACTTTTAGAGTGTTTTTTGTAATTTTCTAAACTTTCAGGGCAGTTTTTTGCAAATTTTAAATTTATAAAAATTTCAGTATATTGTTTGAATCTTTGAAATTTTTAGGGCGTTATATGTAAATTTTTTATTTTTGAGGGTGTTTATTGCAATTTTTAAACTTCTAGGGTGTTTTCCATAAAGGGGTTGTCTGTAATCCTATATTGTCAGTATATTGTTCATAGGTTTACATTTTCCATGGTGTTTTTTGGAAATTTTGCCTATATTGTCAGTTTACTGTTTATAGGTTTACATTTTCCATGGTGTTTTTTGGAAATTTTGATGTATGAGGGTGTTTTTGCAACTTTCTAAACTTTCAAGGTGTTTTCTGCACTCCAAAAATTTTTAGGGGTCTGTTTGTAATTTATATATTTCAGTGTAGTATTTGTAGGATTGAAATTCTTAGGGTGTTCGATATAAAATTTAAAATTTCATGGTGTTTTTTGCAATTTACAAAACTTTCAGGGTGTTTTTGCAAATTCCAATTTGAGGCTGTTTGGAGTTCCTAAATTTCAATATTATTTATTGTAAATTCTGAAATTTTTAGGCCCTTCATAAATTTCAAAATTTTGAGGTTCTTTTCCTCAATTTTCAAAACTTTCAGGGTGTATTTGCAAACTTTAAGTTTTGTCAGTGGGCGGTTTGTATATCCGAAATTTTTAGTGTTTTTCTTCAGTTTTGAATTTTTCAGAATTTTTTATGATATTTACTGAGTTGTACATTATTAAGGGTGTTTTGTAATTTTATAATTGTTCAGATTATTGTTTTCAATTTTTAACTTTACAAGGGATATTGTCAACTTTTAGGTTTCAGGAGGCTTATTGTAAGTTTTAAAACTTTTTAGGGGATTTTCGTAATTCTACATGCTTGAATGAACCAAGCCTCAACTTTTCACCCTTTTTGCTCCTACCCCTAACTTGATCAAAAGTTTAGCCTCATGTGGGGTTACATTATCCGTGGTGAAGCTTTAGAATGCTAACAAACATAGGTAAAGATGAGATCATGTTTAACCTGGTAAACGTTACCACCCCCATGTACCAAACAAGCCCTTAATGACGATACTTAATAGATAAGTCTGAAATTAGTAGAACAAAAGTGCTATCTAAAATGTCCACAGTCCTTATAGAAAGTAGCGTAATTTGGTACCTTTTCCTCCAAAAACCTCTCAACTAGTTTCGGAAAAGCAGCCTGTACAAGCTCCATATTTTCATCAGTCAATAAATACCAGCATCCATCATCAATGAGAATCTGTGGAATCTCTGGCTCATCCAGCAAATCAGTAGACTCTCTGACTACCGTTTGCGCACTTTCCTCAGTCCCTGATTGCTCATTGGAGCTATCGTCAATACCAATATTTGAATCAGGACCAGCTCTCTTCCATTTTACCAAAAAATAAGGATGCCCATATCTTATCTTTACCCGCAAAATCGAGTGAAACTCATACTGTTCATGTAGCAGCAAGCTCTTGTTTGGACTTGAGGCAATTTCTCTTAGGTAAATAGTAGACAACATCGGAAGTACTCTTTGACGGATATAAGAAGGCTCCCAATGTTGGTGGTAAACTAGAAAGTCAGCTAGATTGTCCAGATTAGGTTTATTCCACCTGATGGCGGTGTCACTGTTTTCTGCATTGTACAGTTTCAACATCAAAGAAGAGCAGAAAGGATGGAAAGGACGGAATATAATTGCAGCTTACACAAATAAAGAAAAAAATCAACTTAAACAAATATGCAAATGTTGAGTTGTCAGAAATGAGGAATTCTACTCGAAGGAAAAGATGTATGCTTAAAAACAAACTCATCTCTTGCACATAATTTTCTCATGCCGGAATTTGAAATCTATCGGTTAGATGTCTTCTTGATACCAATGAAGGCTAATAAAAACACAAAATAAGTCATGAGTAAAATCACATAATTCTACTGTTATTACCTTGTCTCTACAAATGAAAAGGTGATGAGAATAAAGATTATGATGGACGCTTTGAAAAAAAATTCATTGATCAAAATTTGAAAATTTATGCAGCGTTAAGTCCTTATCAAGTAAAACACAATTATTTAAAAGTCCCCTGCAAGATTTTGTGCAATAACACATCATCATCTAAACATTTTCTAATTTTCATTTCCATCTACCCTATTCTTTAATCTAAGAAAATAAAGTGCAGCATTTTGTACTCAATTTAAGGACATACCACTATGATTTCCATGGTTGCCACATAAATACATATCAATTATCTCCCTGTTGGGAAAATTGTGTTCTTCAGCAATCTTTTTGCATACTTTTATTTGCCAATTTTCTTGTTTCTTTTGTTCCTTGAATACACGATCCTGGCAACAAAAGCCCGATTATACATTAGATTAAACATAAAACTTCCGAGGCAACAAAATTACAAAAAAATGTCAGAATGGAAGGGCAGGGAAACTGACAATTAATAGAAACTACCAAGGCTTTATTAAAGTATTGAGGTAAACAAAAATATAGAAGTACAACAGATTTTAGGAGAAAAATCCTAAATCATAGAGGAGATTTCATCACCAGAATATGCTTCTGCAGAGTCGAACCAAATAAAAAAGATAGGTAATAACATCATACCATGTTGCAGTTGGGGCATTTGCATTTGAAATCTGTTGGCTTCTCAATGCAGTTTTTTGAACCATCCACAACACAATATTCACAAGCAGACTTCAAATGAGCACTCTTGCTGCCTGGGTGACCACAATGTGAACAGTGTGGAAATCTTGGAGTTGTCAAGTTGTTATGCAAACTGGGTATTTGGAGATCCATCCTAGATTTTATGGTGTCCTGAAGCACAGGGAAAACCCCTTTGCCAATTTCAGATAACCTGGATAAATGAAGGGATAGCAACACAGCTTAGATAGAAACAAACCACTACATCAAGAAAGAATTATATATTAAGGATGACGGTACATTTAAGCATAAAAAAGAAAACAAACCTATCCAAGATTTCCTCCTCGGTAAACAATTGTACAAAGCGAACAGCATTATCAACTCCAAAGCCAGACACACCACCCAAATCATGGTCACTACCAACAAGTAGAGCAATGGCGACCATTTGTTTTCTCCCTAATCCAACACCAGCTTCTACATCAGACATATAGTAGCACTCAAATGGCTCCTGCATTAAATGGCATGCTAAGGATGCTGAGGTGACGAAACACAATTAAGAAATGGTAAAATGAGCATATGAATAGTTCAACAAAAAACAGGACACAATGAACCTTTTGGTAAAAATTACAGGAACACACAGAGAGATTAAAAAAAAGGAATAATTTCAAATAATTGTATTAAAGAAGAAACAAGTGAAAAAATGCTCCAGCTAACCTTAGAGTTCGACTTGAAGCTTTTTATGACACAACTGGCGCCAAATAGGAATGCATCACTATCAGCAGTGATACAAGCATCTACATGCCCTTCACTGTTTAATTGTGCACAAAGCGCTTCGGCCTCAGAATTAGCTTTTAAAACAGGCATCCCAAGGAGTTCAAGCAATTCCTGTGTCAACAAAATGGTAAAGCAAACTTATCATAAAAGCGGTAAAAACTATCAGAATAATGCAATATTTTCCCATGTCACAACAATGGTAACTACTACAAACAATTCTAATACGAGATAGTATATTAATCCAAAAAAATAAAATAAAAAATTCTAAACCAATCTGGACACATTACTTTAGAAGAATAACAGAAACAACCAAATTTGATAACTTACCTGTAAACAGTAAAGTTTAAATGTAAACAAAAAGCACAATCAATTTGGTAAAGCAAGACCTTTTTGATATGTCAGCAGCAGAATAGATATCAATAATCATGATCTTTTTGTAGTTTTTAATACCATATATAAATCTTACGCATAAACTTCACTTAACTCCCAATTGCATCAAAACAATTATTTGTTTGCTCTTGGTTTTGCTATTAATATTTTAAAGGAATATCTTTTATTCTTTCAAGGGTGCCCATTTCAACTAATCCCTCAATTCGGAAAGTATTTGGTGTTATATTTGTTATTGAAAAGATTTGGAGCAATGTCTTTTATTCTTTCAAATGCTGTCATTTCAGCTTCCCTCCAACAGGACCTTTTGTTTGAATCTTGACCTTTGTGGAGATTAGAATGGATGAAAGAAAAGCTACTCAAAAAGATGGTAAAAGAGATACAAAATGGGGAACTATATTGCCAGCAGCTATCTCTTTCTCAAAGCAAGAGAGAGATTAATGAGAGACATGTGAGGAACCACGGTTAGAGTCCAATAAATGCAAGTAACATTCAAAAGCATGCCATCGGACAGTTTCCCTGAAAACTGTATAATCCAACAATACATGAATTTGAGCATATTATGCTGTAGTTTTAGCTGAATATTTATACAGAATATAGGTTTATATTGCATGTTTTTTAACTACAATATTACCTTTTTATGCAAACTACAAAAAAAGGAGAGGATGGAGATCCAGGTGCATTTATGTCTTACATCCTCCCCATTACTCACAAACCCAACCAACACATGCACTCACACATGTGCATACACACACAACAAACTCCTAAAAACCATCTTCTATTGATAGATTCTAGAACACTTTTTAAAATGAAGACATAAGAAAGTGAGAACTAAGGATCTGGAAGTATAAAAGTAACTTTCTTTTCACAAGTGTGAAAGTGCAACAACATCACTGTGTAAGTGAAATAAAATGTTAGTTTCCAAACAAATTATTTTTTATAAAAGTCACCATATAACAATAACTCCTTTTTTTCGCAAGTATGAAAGTGCATCAACATCACCATGTAAGTGAAATAGAATGTCAGTTTGCAAACAAATTATTTTTGGAATTAGGAAAAGAAAGCTGAAGTGACAAAATTATGTATCCATTTATTAAATAAAATATTACACTTTTAGTGATTTCAGTTATTTGATATTTACAAAAAAAACTAAAAGTAAGACATAGATACCATGGTTAAATTATTGCTTAATTTGATAAAGGAGAATAACTGCTTTATAAAACTCTAACTATGGTATTCTTACTATCTAGTATCTACATTAGTTTTTATAAATTAAACATTTTTGATAATATGTTTAAGCTATTCCTCTATAATAATGGGAGGATCCAAAATTCACTATTCATGTTACCGTAAATGCTACAGTAAATTACTGTATTTGTTATTGTCGCACAGATAGGGGATTCAAAATTCACTATTCATGCTACAATAAATTACTGTAGCATTATTATTGTCGCACAAGCGGGATCTGTAACCTTTAAAAACATTATTGTAATATTATTACTGTACCTCAAGGAGATACTGTAGCATTTTAAAAATGTTATTGTAGCACTTACAAAAACCTGCATTTAAATACAGAATTACTAGCAGAAATAAAAAATGGAGGTCGTGCTTTGCATGGGGTTCGCACTAGTACATATTTCATTTTTAGAACTTATTTTTAACTTATACAATAATTATATAATTTTATGATATAAACAAATAATAAGCTTTTGCTTGCAGAAATTGATTAGATGTTATGTTTTCTCAAAGTGAAAAGACAAAAGAGAGAGAGATAATAATTTTAATAATGGTCCGCACTTTTCACTTTCACTGAGACCTCATAGCTCTTATACTCTCATAGGAAAGGTGAATTATGCACCTTATGTGGTGGAAGTCACTCTTGCAGTTTCAAGTGATAGTTTCATCCAAACAAACAACTGAAGTACATGAAAGTGCTTCACATTCACACTTCATTTCTTTCATTCTCATTTTTGCCCCCAAAGTTTTATTGCTTTGAACTTCTTAAGTATTCATTGGACAAGCATCCCCCAAAGTTCTATCGCTTTGAACTTGTAAGTATTTACGTTAGCTCCAGTACTCACACCAGCTCATGTTAGAGAGTTAGGAGCTCATTCCTAAAGTTATTTGTTAGAGAGAGGGACACATTAAACCACCCATGTGGTCAATGTATGACTAAATAGCACTAACATAAGTTCCACAAGTTCCACAATCCTGATATAGATATTTATTGACTTTGCACTAGCCTAGTCCCGATGCAAACATCATAGTATTGTGAGCCATTTTGACTATGCTCTAGTATCAGTGTTTAGTCCCAATGAACATTGTAACAATGAATTCACTGTCTACACCGCATGATTGCAACAAGACATAGTATTGACTTTTACACCATTTGAAACCTAGGAGAACTCACCAAGTCACCTCTAAAAACAACCAAATATCTCAATAGACCCATATACATTAAGCCACTCCTATAGTCAATGGAGACCAAATAGATCCTATCATCCTAACAACTCCGGATTTCGTTTCTAGTTCCTCTCTTCATGTTTCCTCTCCACATCATTGGCTTCAGAACCATCCTTCTTTCTCACACTATTAAACCTCTGTCTTGAGACAAACATGACAGACTTGAGACTTCCACCAAATCATCTCAAATGGAAACAATATAGTCAATATTTGCAATGTACACAATCTCCAATCCCCTTCCTTTTCCTGTCTTTCTTTTGGTGACTATTTGTATAGATAGAATATTATTTTTGAGTTAACAGACAAGAATTAGAAGGAGAAGAAGAAAGTGAAGTATAGGACAAGGTAAGAGGAACTGGGGAAGGATTAGAAGGTGAAACAGACCAATATGGAGTTTTGAATCAAGGTATCGCTGCTCTAAGTAGATTGTCTATTCTGGTTTTATTCAATGGCATCTACCAGAAGGAAGACGAATATACAATCAGACAACCGAGAATGTTTGAATATTTGAATTTATTCTCAAACACTCCCTCATTGTGTTCATTCCAAATGTAATCAAATTCATTAAGGGGACATTATGTTATGTTCGTAAATCAATAGTACGAAAACTACTGGAATCGATGCGGTCGTTGCACTCCCGACTGTTGTCACAACTAATTATAATTATAAGTGCAAGAAAATGACTCAATAAATTCAAAACAAAATGAATTCCACTCACTACACACTCATGAACGTAACGAGCAAACAATCCGTTCCTGTTCTTGCTTGTTGTCTCCTCTCCCTCCTCAGCCGCGACCGCAGAGGAATCCACGCCCGATCCCCGCAAGAACCTCTCCACCCTCGCTTGCTTCTTCAGCGGGGACGGATCCCCATCCAAAACAAACACAGGGTACGCTCCCATCTAAAAAATTCAAGAAATCGTTCCAGAATTAGGTCAAATTTACCTAAGGAACAAAAGAATCAGGATTCGGGAAATCCATGTAACCTTGGCGAAGAGGGCGACTGTACGGAAGCAATGTGCGTGCGGAGGTCGGGGGAAGGGAAACCGGGGTTGGCGCCGGCGCCGGGACGGATGGCGGAACCACGTCGTGTTGCCCCACGATCCAGAAGGATAGAGGGCTCCGACGCGCGACGCGCCTTCGTTGCTGACAGTAAGGCTTCGGCGCCTTTGAAGCAGGGCGTAGTGCTTCAGGAGGTCCCAGAAGTGGCCGCCAACGCCCATCTCCGGCGATCGTTGATGGCGGGAAATTCGAGAAGTTGGGGAGTTGAGGAGGGGGAAGATGAAGCGCAGGAACGGGTCGGGTTTGGTTTGAACTGGGGAAGAGGTGAGAGGTTGACTGGACAGCCTTTGCAATTTGGATCGTGTCTGAAGTGACCCGAACCGGTACCCGAAGTCATCTATCTATTTATTTATCTATTTATCTATTAATCATATCATATCATATCATATCATATCATATATATATATATATATATATAGGCTAAATACCCATATTGGTATTTTAATTCAACCCCATTTCCCAACAAGGTATTTTAATTAGGAAATTCGGCGATAAGACATTTTAATTGAATAAAATTACCATTTAGGTCCTTTTTCTCGTCGGCGGCCACTTTTCCGGCGAGAACAGATCACGTGCGTTGCACGTGGGGGCTTAATCTGTGTTTAGTATGCTGATGTGGCTCTGTATTCTGACGTGGCAGGGAATTAACCCTCTAAAAACCAATTCCCACCCAAAATTTTTGGGACATATTCCCCCTTTCGTTTTCAGAAATTGAGCGCGAGAGAGAGGGAGAAATAGAGAGTGAGCCATCATCGTTGAGGCAGTTGAAGGCGACGAATTGCAGAGATTTCAACTGATGGTGTTCCTTGGTGCATGCATTAGGTGATTTGCGGAGGACGACGAGTTGGTACGGGTTGACAGGAATGTGAAGGTTTGATTCTCATTATACCTATGAAATCTTTTGGTGGCTTTGAAGAGGATAAGTTAATCACGTATTTAGTTTGAGTTAAATGTAAGATAAACCTAAAATTTGTTGCATTTTGTTAGATTTGATAGAATTAGGGTTTTCAAAGTTGTGGTTTTTTTTCCAAATAATGGGTTGAATTTGATAGAATTATTATCATTTTTCGTAAATTATGCAGATGGCTACGCAAATTATGATTAAATATAGACATGGGGGGTCATTGGACTTCGGAAGTAATGTGGCATACATTGGTGGTTCAGTTGATGTTGAGCTTTGTGATGCAGAAGATATTTCATTAGAACAATTGAAGATGAGTATTACAGAATATGGTTATAACAATGTCGGGATGTTGTATTATTCTATTCCTAGTGTAGGACTGGCTATGTAAAACCCCAAAAATTTTGAAAATATTATTATAAATTATAATAAATGAGTTTTATTATAATTGGTGATCATTCTAGGATGAATGGATCAGATTGGAATCGATTTGAGATCGATTCGCAGTTTCAGCCTCGGTATCGCGAGTCTATTGAAAACTGATACTATTTTATTTTTAGTAATTTTTCTATTGATCAGATGTGCATGAAATTTATGCCATTGATCTTAGAATGTCAAGACCGTGTTGTGATTAAATTTTCGTTACGTTTTGACAACGGAGACTGAAATACTATTTTGAGACGGTATCAAGTCCGTTAGCATCTGTCGTATTTATATTTTTAAGAATTTTTATGTTGATCAGATAAATATGGGGATTACACCTTTGATCGTAGAATGTTGAGACGGTCTTGTGGGTAAATTTTCATTACTTTCTGAGAACGGAGATTTGAAACTTAATTTTTTTAAATAATATAAAATTATAAATATTATTTTTTTCCCTTTTCTTTTCTTCTCTCCACCTACCCCGCTCCTCTCTTCTCCTATAAAAAGGGGCCCTCCCTTTCACTCTTCTCACACGGCAGAAAGAAAGATGAGAGAGAAAGAGAAGGGGAGAAAGAGAGGGAGAGAGAAAGAGAAAGAGAAAGAGGGAGAGAGAAAGAGAGGGAGAGAGAAAGAGGGAGAGAGAAAGAAGGAGAGAGAGAAAAAGAAGACAGAGAGGAAGAAAAGAGAGAAAAAGATAGATGAGACTTTGGCTATTCGGAGAAAAGGAACGGATAGGGAGTCAAATTTCAGAGATCAATAAAGGCAAGTTCATCTCTTTCCAAACCCATCCCCAGTAAATTTTGATCTTGATGAATATACATGATATTGATGAATATACATGATATTGATGAAAAGACATGATATTGATAAAAATTGATGAATATACATGATATTGAAGAAAAGACTTGATATTGATGAAAATTGATGAATAGAATATAAGACCAAATTCCTAAAGGCATGATATTGCTAGCTAGAACTATACGTACATGTCTACCGCTGGAAATACTGTCACTATTTTATACGTATGATACTATTCATACATACGATACTATTCATACTTACGATACTATTCATAAATACTATTACTATTCATATGTACGGCACTATTCATAAGTATCGTACCATTCATACGTACGACAATATTCATGAGTTTACTATTCATATGTACGGCACTATTCATAAGTATCGTACCATTCATACGTACGACAATATTCATGAGTACTATTCATACATACTATGGTACTATTCATAAATACCGTACTGTTCATACGTACGACACTATTCATAAGTACTATTACTATTCATGCATACTGGGGGTACTATTCATATGTACTGTTATTATTTATACATACAACACTATTCATAAGTAATGACACTATTCATACGTATGTGTACTATTTATACATACTGTTACTATTCATGCATACGGTACTATTCATACGTACTGTTACTATTCATGAGTACGGATACTAGTCGTAAAGTACTGTTGTTATTAGTAAGTACTGCTACTATTCACAATTAGTTAATACAGCAGATAGTCGGGGTTGGTAACCCTGATCATTTACTGGACAGTTTGGTCCAGTTTTATTTTCTGGAGTTTATTTGCGCTGTTTGTGACGCGATCGCGGAGTTTGAGCCGCTTGATGTTATACTTACAGTCATGAATATGACGAAATACGCATTTGAGTATCCCACGGGGATTATGACAAATTGAGATCTATTTACTTGTGAGTTAGTACACCGCAAATGAGATGCGATGATACCTATTTGTTGATCCGTATTATGATGCGATGATACATATTTGTCGATCCGCACAGTGATGCGATGATACCTATTTGTCGATCCGCACTATGATGCGATGATACATATTTGTCGATCCGCACGGTGATGCGATGATACCTATTTGTCGATCCGCACTATGATGCGATGATACCTATTTGTCGATCCGCACTATGATGCGATGATACATATTTGTCGATCCGCATGGTGATGCGATGATACCTATTTGTCGATCCGTACTATGATGCGATAATACCTATTTGTCGATCCGCACTATGATGCGATAATACCTATTTGTCGATCCGCGTGATGATACGATGAGTTGGAAGAAGTTCAGAATGATAATATTATAAACTATTTACATGAGTATTTGGCGGATGCCAAAAGTGTTTCTACTCATTGTTGAGATACTTTGCTATACGAGTACACGAGATACATATGCTGATGTCTAGTATGATGCTTTACTTTCCAGTTATATTTTGATTGCTTAGTTCAGGGTTAATATTTAGTTATTTACTACCTGAGACATACGGTATATACATGAGGGTTTCCTTGTTTGGATTATTTCGCTCGACGTACTACGTCTCAAGTTGTAAGTTTCTAAATATTAATTCCATTAGATACAGGGAAAATGATCTAGGTAGACTATGCTTAATAGATAGAGCCTCCACTTCATCATCTAGCAGCCCTTCCCCTGGGGGCGGATGGAGGTGAACTTGCTGTAGCGCTCTGACGCTCTTGTTGTTGTTCTTTTTTTTTTATTTTATTTCTCATTTCAGGCGGCTCAGAGCATCGGAGAGTCGCAGGGTGACGGAGTTCTTGTATAGTCGTCGTCGCGTATTTTTACTAGTATGGACTCCACAGTGATCTTATGTTTCCATTTAGTCATTTGAGTTTGTACTCATATTGTTAAGGCAATATGCCTTAGTACGATTTCTAATCGATTCATGTTGAGACATATCATGTTATTTTAGACTCCAGATGTATATCAGTTGTATTCCAGTTTAGTTTATTTGGGACATGATTTCATTTATGAGATATATCTTTCCGTATCATGTCTATAGTATTTATTTCCCTTATTTGCCTGTTTTGTATCTTCATTTATATTGGTTTCCACTAGAGGATATTACTGTGATTGGTGAAACATGTTGTTGCACAGTGGAGGTGCATGACAGGTTTGACATCTCTGGGTTCACCTTGGACTGCAGCCAAGTGTGAAAACATGGGCGTCACAGTTGGTATCAGAGCTCTAGTTCCAGCATCCTTAGGATCATCCTGTGTTGAGTCGTGGAGCTAGAATAGAGTTTCCTAGGATTCATGTATAGAGTCCGATATGAATTTCTAGAATAAGTGAGGACGTTATATACGTATATTTAAAAATTACGAAATTTTTTTTATGACAACTATCTTACTTTGATTGAAAAGTATTTGCGTGAATACTTATCGTGATATGTTATGTTATTTATATATATATGTTTGCGATCTCATTTACTGTGTCGATTAAGCTCTCCTCTTGATATTATAAATATCGGGACGAGGACGTGATCGAGGTAAAACTCGTACCCGGAGAGCTGGGCAAGCAGAGCCCGGGCCGCAGCAGACTCCAGTATCTGATCGACTTCATGGCGCCGTTTACAGCAAGATTTTTGCAACACTCGAGGAGCGAGAGGCGTATTTGTTTCCGTCTGCCGTACCACTTTTAGGAGTTCCACCATCGATTGTACCCGTCGTGCCAAGTGAAGAGGTAATACCAATGAGTACACCACCACCACAATCAGCTGTTGATAGAGCCGCAGAGTAGGAGGCTTGGCTTAGTAAGATTAAGAAAGATATCAAACAATGAGAGCACCATAGTTTCAGG